GATGACTTAAGTGCATACCCTCTCCAGGACGGAAACTACGCCAATATCTGTTCCTGTTAAATGGCAGCTTTCAGTCATAGCTTGTTTTGTATTGCTGTCAATAAATTTTGAATTCACTCAAATATGAAAGTACATTTATTTATTCACATACTGGCTTATTTATAGGACTGGGAATGGAATCAAGGGCCTCTTCCACTCAGCTATAACCTCTCCAGCCCCAAGCTAAGTGACTTTATTAACCTTGTTAAGTAGCTGTTGGTTTTCAGAGATTAAACATTTGATACTGAATTAACTTCTTGGGAACTTTGAAAGGGCATAAATGATATTAATTTCTGCCTTCAGTAGGCAAGGAAATTTTCCACCAAAAAGAGGGGTCAGATCATGGTTCACCATTCTTTTACTGTAACAAAATGAAGCTGGTCTGTGTGGTTCGAACCTGCAATGCCAGCACTCAGGTCAAGGCATGAGGATTGACATGAATTTGAGGTCATCCTGGACTACATAGTAGGATGTAGGGCTAACCTGTGCCAGAAAGTGAGACTGCCTTCACACAACAAATGCACAACATTCTTTTTTTCCTCTTTATTTATTCTATGTATCTTTTACATTGTGTATCTTGATCCCATTCATTTCCTTGTCCCTTCTAATCCCCCTCTACCCCTGCATCCCCTCTCAGATAAAACAAAAGAGAAGGGAAAAGAAAAAAAAGGAAAAAATTAAAAATCTCGTCATGGAATCTGTAGTGTGACACAGTGAATCACACAGTAAACCCTTTTGTCCATATCTCTTTACTTGCAAGTGTTCATTGCAAAGAATCTGGTTCGCGGCCTCTGGTTTCTGTTACACTACTAATGTTGGGCCCTCACTGGGCCTCCTCTTGGATATCCTGTTGTTGCCCTGTGTCCTGGAGATCCTGTAGCTTTGGGTCTGCGGGTCAGGTCCCTTCATGTGCTCCAGCAGATCACAGATGGGGTGGAGTGGATGTTGGGGCTGGTCAAGTCCATAATCCTAGGTCTGGGCCCAGGCTGCTTCAGGGTTTATCAGCCCACCAGCTCCTCCTTGTCCTCACCACTAGGATGGGCTCTCCAGCATTGCCCAAGCTAATGCACCTCTTGCAGCAGTGAAGGATGGAGCCAGTTCTCCTGCTTTCATGCCCTCAGGGTCTGCTCTTCCACACCAACACCATCAGGGCCAGCTCTACTGTGTTGCCCCTGTGAGGTCCAGGGGCCCTTCTTCTCAGCACTGCAGCTGGTGAGGGGTAGGGACAGCTCTCAGGCTCTTATGACCTAATGGCCAGCTCCTCCACCTGTCTCAGGCATCTCTCCTCTGCCCATGCTGCCATATGTCAGATGAGTAATGGGGACAGCTGTCCTTTGCTGTCACCCTTACCTCCAAATACCCTGCCAGCTGTGCTGTGCTGTCTAGGCAAGGGCGGGGCCTGCTTGCCTGAATGCTGCAGCTGGTGAGGGGGAGGGTCAGCTTTAGTCTGTTGCAGGCAGTGAGGGGCAATGGGTAAGGGGGGCATCTCTTCCCTACCCACACTGCCCCATGACAGACAAGCAATGGGGCACAGCATTCTTGAGCTTCTGCCGGATTTCCTTCCTGCCAGCTCCACCTAATGTGACACCTGCTGGCCATTACTAATAGGCTAGCTTATGGCTTTATATTTCTTCACATCACTAAAACTATTTTTATTCTTTGTCAATTGTATACATGTATGCAATGTATCTTTTGAAAATCCCATATTATTTATTTTATGTGTCTGACTGCATGTGTGTATGGGCACTCCATGAGTGCCTGGTGCCAACAGAAGATCACAGCTCCTGAAACTGGAATGACAGGCAGTTGTAAACTGCCATGTAGGTGCTGAGAACCAAACCAGATTCTCTGCAGGAGTGGCCAGTGCTCTTAACCACTAAAGCATCTCTCCAGCCCTCTATGCAATGTCAGTGTGTCTTGATCATATCCATTTCTGTCAGCTTATAGAAGCCAGTTCCAAGAAGCAGGTAGAAGTGCCCCTTAGAATCATTGAAAGAGAATCCTCCAAAACTGAGAAAGTACTTCCAAATAGGAGAGAATTTCAAGAGTGGCTCAGCGTGTCCCGTGCCTCAGAGAGGTTAAGGAAGACAAGAAGTATGAAGTTGTCATTGGATTTAACAGTGTTCGGGTATTTGTAACTGGGAAGCGGGTAAACCATGTCCTAGTGAAGAGTGAGTGGCAAGTGGGAAATAGAAATGGGGGCAAATAGATGACAAGACATTGGAACTTGAGAAACATCTAGCAACTCATCTAATTTGAGATAGTCATTGAAGCCATTGGCATGGATTCTCTCACTGAGCCAAAGAGAATAAAGCAGGGACAGAAATAGAGCTAGATTCCAGCCTGAAAGAATTCTAACATTCCCTATACCAATAAAAATGTGTACCTACAAAGATAGACAAGAAGTAGCCATAGAGTAGGAGAAAAACCAAATATGCTGGTTTTTCAAGCAGTATAGTGGCTCAGACCTAAAATCACAGCACTTGGAAAAAAGAGACAAGGGGGACTGAGAGTTCAAGGCTATTCTTGGCTACATAGTAAGTTTGAGGCCAGCCTGGGCTATTAAAAAAAAAAACATTAGTAGTGGACAGGGCTGTGGATAAAGCTTAGTGGTGGAGCAAGCAAGGCTTCGGGTTCACTCCAGTCAGCATTGGAAAAAGGGGAGTGGCCTGTAGAGTTGAATGCAGGAGAAAACTCAATAATGATACTTGAAGAGAGCCACAGGACGTGTCGACTGCTAGACCAATAATGGCCAGCATTTTGGAAGTCATTACATTCAGTTAGCATTTATAACTTTTTTTTTTTTCCAGACAGTGTTTCTCTGTGGCTTTGGAGGCTGTCCTAGAGCTAGCTCTTGTAGACCAGGCTGGTCTCGAACTCACAGAGATCCACCTAGCCTCTGCCTCCCGAGTGCTGGGATTAAAGGCGTGCGCCACCAATGCCCGGCTGCATTTATAACTTTTTATAGAAGTTTGGCCATGAAATAAAACAGGCAAATGGTGTTGATAAATGATCGTTTGAAATATAAGAGACACTAAAGTATATTTAGTATGTAGACATCTAAGAGAAGGAATACCCTGTATACCAATAGTGTAGGTTTCTTGCAAAGGCAGCCAAAACAGAAGCAAAGGTAGAGGTCAGAGGGGCTGGCCTTACGAAAAAGGCTACTCCCCAACCATCAATAATGAATTGGCACAGCCAGCCTCCCCTCTGGCTGTTAGCAGCTGAGTAAACTCAGGGCAGTTTTCCTGTCAGCACCTCCCTCTGGTTCTTCCCTGGCCTGTCCGGTTCTGAGTCAAGTCCCCTTCCCCGCCCCTTCAAATTTCTTCCATTCCTTTATCTAGCAAGCATCTACTATTCACTATGTTCCAGTCACTAGAGACAAGGATGAAAAAAGAAATCCTTGTCCTTGAGTAACTCATTGTGACTAGAATCAAGTGGAATTAACCAGAACTGGGAGTGCGGTGTGAGCAGGGTGGTGAGAGGATGAGATGATTTGGGAGTCTCCTGCCTGTAAGCTGCCAAATGTAGCTGAGGAAAATCCCTAAACTGGATCTACTGGTTGAAACCACAGGAGGGCCCTTCCTCCCGCTAAGCAATTGTTTAGTGTTAGGAACTGCTGTTTGCACAAAGCCGCCTTTGTTTCACTTCCTTTTAACTTCTTAAGATTTAGCCTGGTGATGGTGGCCCACACCTTGAGTCCCAGCATTCAGGAGGCAGAGGTGGGCAGACCTACATAAACTCTGTCTGGGGGTTGGGGGGAGAGAAAGGAAAGAACACTTTGTTAAGATTTGTTTTTACGAATGTTTTATTTTGTATCTGTGTAGTGCTACCGGGTCAGAGAGAAGCTAGAATTACAGGTAGTATTGGCCCACTCAATGTGGATGCTGGCAATGGAACTTGATCCTCTGCAAATAGTACCAATTTAGGCTAGGCGTGGAACACGCCTTAAAGCCCAGCACTCCGGAGACAGACACACGTGGATCTCTGTGAGTATGAGGCCGGCCTGGTCTACATAGTGATTTCCTGGACAGCCAGGATTAAAGGTATGAGCCACCATGCCTCGTGCATTCTTGTTTAGGGATTTGAACCTGAGTTGTCAAGATTGCATGACTCCTGCTTTTATCCACTGACTATTCCCCTTGTCCCGATATGCCTTTTTTTCTTTCTTTTCTTTTTCTTTCTTTTTTTTTTTTTTTGTTTTTCGAGACAGGGTTTCCCTGTGTAGCTTTGGAACTTGTCCTGGAACTGGCTCTGTAGACCAGGCTGGCCTCAAACTCAGAGATTCTCTTGCCTCAGCCTCCCGAATGAGTACTGGGATTAAAGGAGTGTGCCACCACCTCCCGGCTATGCCTTTTTTTAATTTTAATTTTTTTTTTTTAGTTCTTTTGGTTGTGTAGGTGTGTGTCTACATACGGGATATGTGCATGTAAATCGTGAATGCAAATGGCTGTGGAAGCCAGAAGCATGTTGTTCCCTGGAGCTGGAGTTACAGATGGTTGTGAGCCACCTAATACGGGTGCTGGGAACCGCACTTGCGTTCTCTATGACAGTGCTTTTAATCGCTTCAGCGCCTTCTTCCCTGCCGTCCGCTCACCCACCCACCCCGAAAACTCATTCCCATCCCTAAGCCCCGGCCTTCGCGTTAAACTTCCTCCCAAAGAAGGGCGGAAGTCGCTGTGCGGCGCTTGGAAGTGACAGGAACCCTGCTCACCCTTGCCACTCCACGCCCTCAGAGTTGGTCCCGCCTATTCCGTTTCCCGGGTTTTGCTAAGGGCTTTTACTTTGGCGCT